TCCTAACATTCCCAACCTCCCCAGATGGTTCATCGATATTCTCCCAAAACTCATCCTTCTCAAAATCGTCGTCACTAGTCTCTAGACTGTGCTCAGATTCATACACTTGGTATCGGCCAGTCTCATTAATCCGGTCCTGCACGTATTCTTGTAACATCTGCTCCCGATTCACGGGGCGCACCTCGTACCCCTCCGAGCCCCGACGCACCCTGGTAGCTCCGGAGTATCCCTCTTCTGAGTAATCTGAATCATTGCCAGGAGAATACGGTCGTCCAGGATGGGAATCAACTCCAGGAACCTCGTAATCTAAATGGTAAGGTGGTAAAACAGAGACAGGATCTTGTGTGGATTTATGCCGGTTACCATTGACACCACGTAGTTGACTATTTGATGGACGTAGATTGGGATTAACATCCCCGTTCTCGTATGTCCATGGACTGTCAGGGAGCTTGAAGGGTAGTTGGTTAGCCAAAGCCGGATCTCGAGGAGGCCAGTTATGATGTTCTATATCAATAGGATCAGTCAGTGAGGCACCACATCAAGCATAATGACGCAGCTGCAATGAGTGTACTGACACGACAGAACGAGGACGTAAGAGGACAATGACAGCTACCAGATGTAGCAGTCATGGTTCCAAATCGTTCACTCTCCTTCGGCGCCCCTGTGCTGCAGCTTGTTCATTCCACTCACCATCAGCAACTGAAAGCTGGTATCTCAGTCCAGTTCCAGGAGGGACGGTTGGACAACACCACAAAAGTGGATTGTTTCCGAGAATTGAGGCAATATTACGCCTCACGCCGAGGTTCTGCGTTACATCAGTAATATGTTTGTCGACATGAATCAAATACTTGCATATGGGAACTTGACCTGTAGGCGATACAATTAATTGATTTTCTATAGCTTACTTAGGGGAAGAGTTTACCTCTTCAATTTTACCATGTCTTCGTAGCATCGCAGCTTTATCTTTCTCCCAGCCTTCAATAGTCGTGGTATTGCCCATCAGACTATGGAAATGATAAAGACTGTATGATCACGGTGAGTCAACTGCGATTCTGTATGCAAAGTAGTACACAATACCTGAAACCTCCAACTACGAGGATGACAGGGACGGCGAAAACGTAGTTTAATATGATGAAGATGAGTTCGGCACCCGTTGGCTGGTCCTGAGTTGCTCCATGTTCAGTCACAGGTTCAATACTTCGAGAAACAACTCACATGGTACCATCTTCCAGATGTGGCCATGACTCGGTATGAGACCATAGCGAGGTGATACGAGCAAGTAACGTCCACGTAAAATAGAAAACGAATAAAGTGTCCATAATTGAAATAGCCGATGCAGTTGTTTGTCCAAGGACAATGGTGGTCTGTGGTAGTCAGAATGCGAAGAAAACGATACCCGAAGGTGCTTACCCATTCTCAGTACGCATCTACTGAGCGGTCAGCATCGCAATACTTCACTGACAGCTCCTACTTACCTGTTGCATTGTTTGCAATGATGGGACCTTGGAGGCTTAAACTTTTGACAGGTACGGCAAAAGCGAGGGGAGCCTGTCAGTCTTTTAACCTCGTAGCCTTCGCTTGATTGTGTGTCCGGTTTCTAGAGGACAGTGTCATCAATCAGAATGACTGCGGCTGAGCCTTGGGCGTACCCAACCATCCGGAACCTCCCCAGGATCAGTAACTATGCATAGGTAGTAGTTCCATAGTAGTGATATAGCAAGAACACTACTGGAGCGTAAATTTCAAAGTATATCCGGACTGATGAAGCTCACTTGAATGGGAAGAGAATAGTTATGAGCTCTACGGACACCTCACGTCCATACCATGGCCATATAATGTAGACCTGGCAAGTTAAGACGGGAAAAAGAATAAGAAACAGCACGAAGCCGATGGCAATGCGCCCCAAGATGGGGTGCATATCTTGGTGTGAGGTCAAACGAGATACAGGTAAGCTAGACGAAGTCACGTTGTGGGCTTTCCAGTTTCCACTGTGGTCAGGTTCCGAGAAAGGAAATTTATCACGTAGTTCACTGACAATTCACTGCTTTTATTCCTTCATCATGCGGCTTTCAAGGGCTCTTGCTAGGCTCTGCAATCCAGGACGCTGCTACAAGCAGGGAGCTCAGTCATACTCCACGAATAGTCCATTTGCATCTTTTATTTCAGATGTAAAAATTCCAGAGTCAGTAGCAGCTTCTGTAGAAGAAGCGCGTCGGAGTGCCCCGAGACTTAGTTCACTGGGAGACATAGAAATTCGTGCGTAACCTTACTCAGTCCGCAATATATGACATTGAACAGTGACTTTAGCCTCGATCATTCCAACATCCACCACTTCTCTGTTTGCTGCACGTGCTGCTCAGAGGCAAAAGAGGCAGTTGACTGAAGCTGCGCCCAAAAAGGTCGAGGCTAAAGTTGTAAACACACCGAAAACAACTTCGCTGCTATCTAGAAGGTCTCAAAGAATCCCGAAAGACGAGGAGAGACGTCCCAATGATGGACCCTCGAACCCGCAGACCGCCGCTGCTCACCCTCGTTCGAGACGGCCCCTTCCTGCGGAGACTACTAGGTCAGCACCAGCAGAAACGCGCACAGACCGGCGAAGGGAAAGTCCAAGGGGTTCAAAGCCAAGCCGTGTTGTTAAGCCTAGATCTCCTGTCAAGGATCTCAATGAAACCGACACACCCGCTCCGCCAGCATTGCATGTTAGTTTCAACAACACTGACTTGTCGGAGCTGTTCAGTTCACCGGCCCTTATTCCCTATGTCGCTCAGCCATCAATTGCCCAGTCACGCATTGACTCTCGGGTGCAACTCTTGAAAGAACGTGCCGGCGATTACTCGCGATATCTTCCGGGGAACTTTGAATCCACAACACAGACGCCAGGGTCAATAGATTACGCGAAGTTGATTTTGGCTCGTAGGAGAGAAGTTGGATTAAGGCCGAGGCGCGCCGCCGTGGAGCTCATGCATCAAGCAGGACTTAGTCCCACGTCAGGTATGCGAGACTCCACTATGTTCAAGGCAAAAACTCAACCAGAACTATGCAGTCCCTGCAATTTCATCGTAATCACGATCAGCTTCATTCATACTGAAATTTGTTCCATCGAAGCCAGAAAAATATGACCGCTACTAAATACATGCCCGGGGACAAAATAGCCATAAGTTACACCAGAAACAGTCGTCGAAGTATATATATATCATGAAAGTGCATGAGGGAATGATTAAGGATCAAACGGGCACAACACCATTCATCCCCGGCCGCTCCTCCGCAATAATTACAGGTTCTGGTGTGCGACCCGCCCAATCGAACACATGATACCGGAGATGGGGAGGGACTATCCATTCAGGAAGTTCGAAGTCCCTAAGTTCCTCAATCTCTTGTGGTACTTTTGCGCCAAACGCAGTCACATGCCTATGCGTTTTACGAGCTGTTGGCGCAGATGAAGCGCGAATGGCAGCCTGCATGAGAACGCATGGTTCTGGCTTTGGCGCCAGTGCGTGGTGCGAAGGGCGTGGCGCATGATGTTCTGGAGTAGAGTGTGGAGAGTATGCCTCATCGAGATGTGACGGTCTTGCGCGTTTGTGCGGGCGCTCGGATTCGACGGACTCTGTATCAGAAGAGGCTCTAGATATTGGTTTGGCTGGAGACATTCTAGATACCGATTTGGACTTGGATGGTGAAGAAGATAATAAATAAGCTGTGGGCTTGGATGCTTGGGTGCTGGATACTGATGGGGAAAAGCTTGACTGTTTTGGCATCTTGATTTTCAAGACAAGTGACGTGTTGACTTTGGCAGGTGAAATGGCGGCGGAAGCTCGCCCATTAACGATCGACTCCTCTTGCGGGCGGATGTCGGAGGAAGGAGGGATATTGACGCTACTCTGCCTGCTCGCTTTCTTCTGATCAAAATAGTTCTTCTTGTCTGACGGTAACAGGGTGCGATACCGATCCTCCAGGATAGAAGCTACCTCAAGCATCTCCTGCCGTCGCCTCTCCCCCTCGTTACACACGGCTGTGCCGTCAGCGTGGATTTCCGAACAACTCGAGTGTTGGCCATCTTCGATCTGAACTACACCAGATGGTAGGGGGAAAGATGCTGCAGGTAATCCGAGGAATGCACTTCCATCCATGGCCCTCAGCTGTTCTATCCTCTCCTTGAGTTTGTACTGCTCATGCTTCAGCTTCTCCTTTTCACGGAGACGCTGACGCTTTTCAAACGTCTCGTACTTCCGATGACGCTTTTCATATACAGCATCAGAGGTATCTGCCGACTCGGGGAGCTAAATAGAAATAATTTGTGGTATGAGCTTATGCCAAAGTTTGAGACTCGTGTTTTCAACGCACCTCCGCAGAAATTCTCGGTCTGAATCTACCCCCAACGCTAGCATCCTCTGTCAAAGTAGTGAATTCAGGTGTTTGAATGATCTGTTGTTCTCGATAAGCTTGAATAACATCTGGTCTGTCGAAATAGCGTTGATTTGCATGACTATTGAGTCCGAAGTCAGTCGAGGATGAGGGTTGGGGTACGAGGGCAGAATTTGTAGTCAACAGGAACTGCGTATTTGCGGGAATGAGCGGTTCATTTTCAACTGCCAAAAGGATGTTAGTATATGAACTGAGTAGAACAAAAAGTGCAACGAACATCTTCGTCTCTGCGCATCCAATATCATGAGGTCAACATCACAGCTTCCTATTCCAGGACCACCACGGCGTGAGCGGGAGGGAAGGACACGTTTCTGCCGAGACTTTAGAGTTGAATATTCGGATGAATCTGCCATAGGAAGTCCTAGCTCCTAGCTGTACTAGTCGCCAGTTCGAGAGTAGCAACAGCAGTGCACTCAGGCTAGGTTATCGCTAGTCTCAGACTTCTAGACTTCTGCCTGTACCAAATGTTGCAGGTCTCCAGCTCCCAGAGTTTACGAGAGAAGTCCGTGAAGCGATCGAGAAGAAACGGACATGTACTAACATGGACCGAGAACTTGAGGAACAAAACTTTCTTTCGTTGACCAAGCGAAGTTCATCCCATCAATTTTACAATCCACACTTTATATGTTTTTATGCAAATCTCGCGTCAACTATCGTCTTCAGCTTAATGTCCATAGACTATGCGTCTCGAGAATTTTCTCGAAACCTCCAGCCATCTTCGGTTAGTGCTGCAACGGCAGCATCGGCCTTTTCTTTGGGCACCAGAACATAATCGGTATTCCTATGAAGGGATAAGCACCACGCAAGTGAATCATATCTGCTACGGGCGCTAACCATGTCGAAACTGCGAACACCGGAACATTAGCATCTCTCAGCGGCGTCGTGAAATTACAGATTACGCCAGTCAACCCTGTTAGCCAGCGAAGATTAGATCGTCTTTCCGTCACTAACAAATGTAGAGAAGACACCAAAATTCATGGGCCCTGCTATCTTGATGCATTTCCATTCGCCATCGTCGTCAACAGCTTCACCAACAACGGAAATCTCTTCTCCTGTTCTAGGTGATGGAGAAGACCCCTTGAGTGTGTTGAGCAGCATTCAGCCCGCTCGTGATTGCAGCTGGAACGCCTGCATCTACTGGGAACTGCTTAACGAAGAAAGTCTGAGCCAGTAGCTCAAGTTCCAGACTCGGGTGGTTGAAGGGTGGAGGCATGTTATTACTAGATAGTCTATCGACACAATTGAAGTCCGAAGCCATGTACAATTATAGATTTTGCTTGGTACATCAGAGCGCACTTCTCTATTTTGCCCGTCGGTATTATCCTTCTTTGGGAAGGTACCGGATACCACTCGAGGGACAAGAAGAATCCTTAGGGTTGTCTAGAAGCCACACGTTAGCGGTCAGTCCGCCATTGATACATGCAACGCACCTATCGGGACGAACTCGCCATCAATGATAGAGCCCTGGAGATTAAAGTACCAGCTGATCGAGCTGAGTGTGCCCGATCGAGAGCAGCTCAAAGCTGGAATGTACTGCAGAATAGACGTTACGATGATGTACTTTTGAGCAAGCTATGGAACCTACTCCAGAGGCATCTTGGAGAGCCGACAACATGGACGAAAGCGAATAAGTCTGGTCAGATGACGGAGTGATGCCTGCCTGAGCAAGCCAGTCGTACGTGGGGAGGGTCTTGAAGACCCTCACCACAGTCTCAAAGAATGCCACAGCCTTGCATAATAATAACGTTCAGGGCAAATACTTCCATACATCACGCCTACTTACCTCGGCGCCCGTAGGGCTGCCGCTGGGAAGGCAATCAACATCCAGTGTGCTAAACAAGGTTAAAATGGATCTGCATCAAAATTCCGGAGTCTGTACCTATAGCATGTGCCGTGTGTAGCCCACTCGTGCTATAGTGCTTGACAATAAGCTTTCGAACGAAACGGAAGCTCTGAGTCTCGCGTACCTCCCAGAATTTCTCATTAGTTCCATCATCGTTGAGCCAATACTGTTGCATGAAATCCAATGTAGATGATGCACCCTGGGATTCGAGTAGCTGTGGGAAATCAGCTGGGGGTGCCTTGATATCGAAGAGAACGGCTGACCCCGGCGATATCCGTGTAATCACGAGAGGGATCGCAGTTCTCAATGTAACTGCCGTCGCAGCTACGATATATTCAAACGACCTGCCCTAATAGTCCAGCTACTGTGACTTACTTATCAGGCCACAGACCTAGTAAATGTCTTGTGTCAGAACAGACTTAGAACACCGTAAATTACACACCATGAATGGTCCAACTATCCTCAGGACTACCAGCGACATCTGTGTCCCAAACCTAAAGAATTTATCTCTGGCTTCACATGTTAAACAAGGCAAACTGGACGAACTTGTGTCTGCAAAATCAGGCCCTGGAGCTAGTTAGGGGAATTTATCACCGACTGATACCAGGACAGGGACGCACTCCAGGACTCTCAAAACAGCAGGTATTTGCGGCGGGGGGCGTGTTCGCATCCTGGCACGATATGGGACCAGAAGTTCCGCATCCTGAGCCATCAAGGCTCTGGAAAAAGTTCATCGGGTTAACGTAGGACACCCCGAGGAGGGACGACATGACTAGTGATGTGACGGACATTTTAGACAAGGGGGTAGAAGTGACTGCAGCTGCTTGTATATTTATATGCCATGAAGGGAAGCTCCGGGAGCAAGGTTAACGTTGACCGGTGACAAGCTTGTGTATTTACACATGTACCACCAAGTGGAGCAAGTTTAACGTTGACCGGTGCCAGTAGTCCTGTATATTGATATACCATGAAGGGAAGCTTCGGGAGCAAGCTTAACGTTGACCGGTGCCAGGCCTGTCATGTGTTTACAAGCCTGTGATGTTTATGAAGGTGACCGTTTAAGGCGGATCGCGAGCTCGCGACTGTTGACGCGGACGCAGTAGCCTTGTAAGGAGTCGCCCACCACACGCGTGCTTCTCTTCTAAGGTTGAAGCACACGTGCGAGCTCGCCCCAGTCAAAACGACTCGATTTGCAAATCGCCTCATTCCCTTGTTACACCCATCCCAATTACGTGTCGCTCCCTCATTGTTTGTAAGTTTACTGGTGCTGCAGGGTGCACTAAAGCACATATCATGTGCTAGAATATCAATTCCCTGAGCGACTTGCGGCGCATTTTGGAAGATAGAAGGAAGGTACAGAAAAGTACGCACATGGCTTAAGCCAAAGATGGAAAGCTCGGCAGGACGACTTGCGTTACTCGCTGCCGGCATCGTGGTGCTTTACATTAGGACAACTCTGGGCAGGTATGATTTCGGTGAGAGTACCGTCAAATGTATGCGATTGAAGAAACCTGCCGAACAGGAAAGGATGAACTTGAACCTACTAGATCGGGGTGTACGCATCGCTCTCCGCATTTTCATATTCCTGTCCATGCACCAACCACTGATTCGTCCAGGGTTGAGCAGGCTGTTGTGCGTGATAAGAGTTGAGCCGAGCTTCTTGGTTCCCAAACCATGCAGGAGGGCCATTAAATCCAAATGCGGACGCGAATCGAGGATTAATGTGCGGCTGTACGGATTGTTGCTGCTGCTGCTGTCCAAATGGATGACTTTGAAAACCGCCTTGCTGATAACCCCACGTTGGTGGAGGTGAGAAAGGCTGTGAAGAATAGCCGGGGATTCCAACTGGTTGATTTGTTCCGCGTTCTGTCTCGTCAGATGTGGGCGATAGAGGTATCGAGGGACTTGTTTTGTACGGTTCCATTGAGGGAGCCGTTGGGTTTTGTTGAGACCATCTGGATTCTCCCCACGAACGTCGTCCACGATCTGGCCGCCCACGCCCACGACCTCTTCCACCATCACGAGCTCCACCACCTCTATCGTGACCTTTGCCACGCCCCCAACCCCGTCCTCTGCTGCCTCCAAAGTCTCTCTCGGGTTCCCTACCAGACAGACGAGCTTCGGTGGAGGAACCGTTCAAGTGTTCTTCATACTTCATAGTGTCCACTTTGACCTCGTCAGCATACGGGTCGTCGTATGGGATGGGTGCTGGACGCGACGGCCCGGCAACCCGGTACCCGTCGTCATATGGGCCATGGGCGTCATATGGGTTTGCCCCGTAGAAAATTTTATCAATATCATCATTGTAATGGGACTGCGATGGCGCAGGAGTTGTTTGTCGAGACGATGACACAGATATGCCACGTCTGCCAAGAATGAATGAGAATGAAAATATTTTTGAGTGCATACACATACCTTTTCTTCCGTGCCTGCTTGAACGCGGCTTCTTGTTCGTCATCAGAAAACTCCATTTCATCTTCACCGGGCTCCTCATCATGAATGTTACTTGCGTCGCTGCCGCGAAGTTTTTTGAGGTATGCCATGAAGACGAAATTACTTCGGTGTGGTATATGGTAAACTTCGCGAGCGACGCGAATCTTCTCAGTATCCAACGGGTAGCTCTGGTTGAATTTTATTTGATACAAGGGCTGGGAAGTGGGCCCGAACGTTTCATACACCTGCATAAGGTCAGAAGAGGTATCCTGAGAATACAAAATACGCACATGGCCGAGAACTTGTCGATCGTCGAATACAAGTAATGTCTCGACATCGAGTGCCTTTTCAGACGCAGTTCTGGAGGAGTCAGCAGGAAGGCCTTTCACAATTACTACGTTCCCAATGATGTTCATCACCTCGCCAACTTTTTCCAATACTTCTTCGAGTCCGACTTCTGATATAGAAGGGACAATGATGTCTGTATCGACAATCTCATTTTTGGTCTGTACATATGATGCGACAGCTGTAGCGCCTGACTCCTCGTCATCGTCCACATCAATTTGTGGTTTTCGAGGGTTCAGCGCATTTTTATCTTCTGCTTTATCAGTAATTTCATCCTCGTCTGACTCGAAATCCGAGTCCGAGGATTCAGAGTCTGAGCTTGAGTCTGACTCCGGTGATGCTGGCCTGGCAACAGTCTCAAGATATTAGCTGACCGATAGCGTTTGGAGACTCACAAAACAGGTGTAGGATTAGCAGATTCCTCCTCTGGAACCATTAAATCGGCTTCAACCTCGTCCTCACTGTCAATCTCGCTAGACGAGCTTGCGATTGAATCATCGCTTGAGTCTGTAGACTTGTGGACATCCTTCCAAACATCCGCTTTCGGTGGAGGGATGACTCCGACAATTTCTTGAATAAGGAGTATATCCTGGGGAACCGACTCGGGGACTTTGAACTGAAAATCCATGACTGACGGCGACAGGAAAATGGATAGCAAAGCGGCATGACCCAAAACAAGACATTTGGGCATCACGTGAGCGTGCCTAGTCACGCGTCGCACAAATTTTTGTATAGAACCCTTCTCGTTCCATCAATATCCTTTCACGATGATAGCCCAATTTGTTCGTTCATCGAAACCGTTTCACGCATCGAGGCTCTCGCGTGCTGGCCAGTCGTGTTATTCTACAACTCCATCCAAGCCCTCTCTGCAGCATGTTGCGCAACTCCGCAAACTCACGGAGGTCTCAATCTCAAAAGCACGAGAAGCCCTCAGTCAAACTAATAACGACATACAACAAGCCCTCGAATGGGTGAAAAATGATCTCGCAGCGTCGGGCATAAAAAAGGCCGCGAACGTCCAGTCCCGGGAGACTCGGGAAGGGCTTGTTAGTGTCTGCATGCTCTCTGGAGGTAGCAGGGGGAAAACATCCTTGGGGGGCGGCGGTATACGTGCAGCCATGATTGAATTGAACTGCGAAACAGATTTTGTTGGAAGAAATGTTTTATTCGGTCAATTAGCGGCAGATATAGCTCATACCGCCGCATTTATCACGGAACCAACTGACTCTTCGACTATCATCAGATCTTGTTCACTGGACGTTCTGAACGATGCCCCACTATTATCTCAAAACAATCCCTCATCTCATTCGCCATCTACAGTGTCAAGCTCTATTAGAGACCTCATTGCCAAAGTGGGCGAGAAGGTTTCCCTGAAGAGAGCTGTGACGGTCGTGCAAGACCCGTTATCGGGACAGTCTCCCAATCTTGGTCTCCGTCTCGCATCCTACCTGCACGGATCTGTGGGCTCCGCCCCTCATGGTCGCATCGGGTCTTTGGCTGTGCTCGCTCTTCAATCTCCAGAGCTTGCACGCCGCCTTGAGAGCGAGACCTTTGTCAAAGATCTAGAGCGACTTGAACGTGCACTTGCACGGCAAATCACTGGCTTTGACACTCGCTCGATCAAGTCATCGGACGGTGATGAGATGGCACTATACAACCAACCGTTCATGATGCTTGGAGGAGAGAGTGCAAATAAACCAGTACGGATGGCCATAGAGAACTGGAGTAAACAACAAGGTCTTGTCCGGGATGATGATGAAGGAGGTATTGAAGTCCTGGAGTTTGCCAAATGGAGTGTAGGCGATATCGTTGGATAGATTCAGCATCATTATTATCTTGCTCAGACTACATAGACGACTTGAGAGTGACGTCGTATGTGTACTTGGTTCATTATATTTTGGGCTCTATCACATGACTCCATAGCTCAGTGGTAGAGCATACGATTGCAGATCGTGCGGTCCCGTGTTCGAACCACGGTGGGGTCTATTTTTATTCACCGAGTAAACTTTACGTAATTATACTCCCGGAGTTCACAATATTTGGTGTTCGGAGTTTTTCGACCTTGGACTTTACTCACCATGCGGAAGGCAACAACGTCGCTCGTCCGTCGCAGCCAGCGGCAATTTTCTCAAGCAGTACACCCTCCATTGCAGATCACTACTCTGCCCAACAAGATCAGAGTTGCTACAGAGTCGACTCCCGGTCATTTTTCATCCGTTGGACTCTACGTAGATGCGGGGTCCAGGTATGAAGACTCATCAACCTCAGGTATTAGCCATTTTCTGGACAGGATGGCCTTCAAGGTGCGTAGCTTAGGCAGTATCTGTGCCATTATCTATAGCTCTATTGCTCAGACTACCAGCTCTCGCTCCACGGAAGACATGGCGACCGCAATGGACAAGCTAGGTGGCCAAATCATGTGCTCTTCGTCACGCGAATCCATCATGTACCAATCGTCCAACTTCGACCAAGCTACTCCCCTCGCGCTTTCGCTTATATCGGACACCATCCTGAATTCTGCCTTTTTACCCGATGAACTTGACGCCCAGAGAGATGCCGCTCGTTATGAGATCCGAGAAATTAGTCAGAAGCCTGAGATGATTCTGCCAGAGGTCTTGCATGAGGTTGCATACGGCAGGAAAACACTTGGAAATCCCCTCCTATGCCCAGAAGAGCGAATAGACGCGATCACCGGAGACCTACTTCGGGACTGCATTACAAACTGGTACCGCCCGGAAAGGATGGTGATTGCTGGTGCTGGGATGCATCACGAACGGCTAGTAGAGCTAGCCGATAAATACTTCTCATCTCTCAAATCTGCGCCAACACCGTCACTTTCGCCACTTCAGCCGTCAACTACTCAAAATCTTCCGCCCCACTTACTTCCCTCTTCCTCACCCTCACTCTACAAGTCATTAACTCGTGCTGCATCAACTTATCTATACCCTACGTCCCTTTCTACCGAGCCACCGCTTCCTCCACTGAGTCCTCGCTCCAATTACGTTGGTGGCATCCATCACATCCCGAGCGAGACAGAGTTCGATCAGCTCTATCTAGCCTTTGAGGGCGTGGGTATACACGACGAGGATATATATACCCTCGCCACTATGCAAGTCCTCCTAGGAGGAGGTGGAAGTTTCTCAGCTGGTGCGTAATTATTTCCTGCGCCACATGCTTTATTTAACTTCTTGCAGGTGGTCCTGGGAAGGGCATGTACTCTCGACTTTACACGCACATCCTAAATCACTACACTCAAATCGATCACTGTGCTTCCTTCCATCATATTTACACAGATTCCTCGCTCTTCGGCGTTTTTGCGTCATTCGTCCCCAATGCTCCCGGCCAGAGAGGCAATACTCCTGCACAAATGCTGCCCCACCTAGCCAATC